AGGAATGCCTGAACATACTGAATCACTCTTCAGCTCCTCCACTTTCCTCAGGAGTTTACTGCGCAGGCCTACTGACTCTGCACACACACAAGCCAAATAAATAAACAAACAATCGAGACTGTGTGTGCTTTTAATAACACAGAAACAGCTGGAGTATCCAGTTTAACATGATGAACTGATCAAACTAACATGTAGAATGTCGTCGAGGCTTTGAGCATTTTTTCATTCTTGCATTTAGCACTTGTCACACTTGGGTGGCAAATGTGAGCGTGGGTGAAAGAGAACATGGTGGGAGCAGAGCGTGTCTGCTTACTGCCTGTCCATTTCAAAGTTAAACACAAAGCAAGCGCTCGAGCAAATTTTAGTTTGAATACTGTTGCTAACATTAACATTATTTTGCAAAACCTGAAATTCAAATTATTTACTGATTAAAAATGGGTGATGGCACAAAACAAAGACTTAACTACAGCTGAATACTAAAGACTATGGGCAGATTCTGTTTCATTTCATTAGGCTGCTTCTTTCAAAAGGAATACTGATTTCATGCGCACCTTTGAAAAATAATCCAGACTCTCTGCCTTTCATGGCAGTAGATAAAACTCACTGCTACTCAATGCTGTCCTCTTAGTTCTACTAAAAGGTGGGATTTATGCTATGTTATTAAAAAGAGAACAATGTGAACATAAGCTGTCAGAGCACAGAATCTGTGCAAACCAAGGAGCAACTGACAGTGACTGTGGGATGGAAAGGGTGGCATGGCAATACAACAAACATTTGCAGACAACTACATGATGAATACTGTCCTAGCTGGCAGACCAACGTCACTGACACGACACTCCTACTTTAGCCTTGTGGCTCCACTTCTTACAGACAATATACCTCAAGTCTGAGGTATATTATACCTTATGGGAAACACGAGTTTTGAGGATTGGGTTATGTGACCAATGAAATGTTCCCGATTAAAGTCAGAACTGCTGAAGGCCCAGAGCTGAGTGCTCTTTCACTGCAGCCTAATATTATGTAAGCTTGCTGAGTAAAACCCACATCAACATTCATTCATTTCTTCCTTCAGCCTTACTTTAATTTAATGTGCCACGTTTTATCCATGTAAATTGGTACAAAAGCCCTGATCCAGAGAGACCGGGCATCTAATTCCCATAAAACTGAGTATATACACTCTTATATGTCAGACAAAGCAAAGCATCAGAACTACAACAGGACGAGGGAGTGAAGAAGAGGCGTTGCATTCAGTCATCAACATGTGAGCTTCATCTTCCTCACCTATGTGCAGCTCTGACGCCAGCACTTCCTTGGTGAGACTGAGCAGCTCTGTCCCATCTATGTTGTTGGCCCTGAATGTGTCCACCAATTCCCTGAGGCCTTCCTCCGCCAGCCACTCTGACACATCCTCCTCAGACCAATCGCTGACCAGCAGCTTCGATCGGCCTGCTGAGGTTCTCCCTGTGGGGTGAGTGAAAGCAGGACGCTCAGTCTTTGACAGCTGCGGCACCTTCTGATTAACAGTAACATATTCTCCATGCAACACTATCCTGGAATCCTGCTGAGTAATTATTGATCAGGGACCGCGGCCAGCGCGCCTTGTATAATGATATAGATAAATGTTTGGAGGTTTCATCGACATTTTCATTGATACACAATGAGACTAAAAGGTGAAAAGGACCTTGTACACTGCAGACAGAAGTGCAGGTTTAATGCTGGTAAACACATGACCACTCCCAGTTGTGACAAAATAATCTTTTGTGCACCAGTGGTGGAAGAAGTGCTCAAACTGGTCACTTAAGTAACAACACCACAGTGTAAAAATCCTCTCTTACAAGTAAAAGTCCACCATTCATAATGTTACTGAAGTCCAAAAGTACTGGCATCAAAATATTGTTAAAATACCAAAATAAAAGTCATTCTTGAAAATACTCAAGTACAGATACCTCAGAATTGTACTTAAGTTACTTTCCACCACTGTTGTGCACACATTTTATGAGTTGTAACCAAGTGCAACATCCTCTACAGTAAGGTACATTTCCTTGCTTCCTACCTTCACTTGGTGTCAGAGCAGGCTCCTCTGAAACATAAAAAAAGGAATAAGTATTTGCACAGCACATGCACTGAAATGCAGTCTTTGAGCAAAGTGGCACCACTTGAGAACAGAGAGCGCTCTGAGACAACACCTGTGCCCTTCACCCAAGATGAAACTAGTTTAACATGTGACATCTCAACACACGGATGAGATAAAAGCTACTAGTGCTGAGGTGCAGCTGCGACAGATGTTGGTCGTCTTTCTTAAACCCGTCATATTTAACAGAAATTACATACAGCATCATAAGGATTTATGCCATCTGGAAACAAAGACAGGAGCAAACTTGGTCGACTACTGAGTTCTGTTTGCTGTTACTGAATTTCTGTTTTAAAAGCAACGTTACTTATTTTCAAGTGCCAAAAAACCCCCAATATTTAAGTTAAAAGAAAAACCAACCAGGTAACACCTTCCCGCCTTTCCATTGGACACAAGGTGCAGTGAAGGAGGCAGACAGAAAAAATGGTTAGAAGAAAAAACAAATGTAACTGATCATCAGCATATAGATGGGCCTCTACAGGGGCCATGTACTGTATGTGTATACTGTTTTCCCCACCATGGCCACTGCATCCATCCTCCAGCCTCCAGATGTTTACAGTCTTATCCATAGATCCAGTAGCAATTAATGGTGCAGTTGGAGAGAAGGCACATGCTGTCACATACCTGCAGCAGAGGACAGGAATCACTCAAATACTGGTTCTGGTGTAATTTTCACTGTATAATAACAAAGCAAAGACTAAACGCCCTAGGGCTTAATACTGGACCTAAATATGTAGCAGTGATTCAAATATTCTCCATTAGAGGGCCAATTCAGTGCTGACTTACCACCTCAAAAGGCTGCATTAAGATCTAAATAAGGATTCTAATCAAATTTCCAGTTGATTCAAGAAAGTTAAGGCAACGTAAATGAGGAAACACTGTCCCTCTCTCGCAAACCTAAGCTGGACTGCTCAACAATGTTGATCCACAAAGGCTAGTTGGGTTCCAACAACAACAACTCTAAAACCTCTAACAAGAACTGAGAGAAAGACACGTACCAACTCTCACACTGTTAAATTATCAGTTTGTCTAAAGTCAGATGAGTTTCCTGGAGCCAAGTATTTATCCACTTTACCTCAACTCCCCTCATCTACTTCCACTTTAGGCAGTGATTTTCCAAAATGATGAAAGGAAGTGAGCTTGTTGCAAAGCATCCTTTCCCTAAAATTATAGCCAGATTCTGTGTGTATCTGAACAGAAGAGTGACCTCTAGCTCTTTCAGGAATTCTGCATAATCAGAAACAAGCATCCAAGTGACGAAGTAAAAACAGGAGGCTACGTGGTCAAAATCAATATGGCCAGTGATCACAGTATTGTCCCATTATTATTATTATGTTTTTTCAAGATCTCATATAGAAAAAAAAACCTAATCTCATCCTATTGATTTCACACATTTTAGTGCTTTACTATAAATACAAATTTATAATGTTGATAAAATATGTTTTTAAATGTTTAAAATCACACATCAAAGATTTTATTAAAATATAACTTCATGTTCTTTTAAATTACCTGGATTTAATTTTGTGAAGATACAAACATGTGAAAGGACATTAAATTATTCCATGTCTGATGAGAATTTTTTTTTAATATTTACTTTTGCAAATTCATGCTCACATTAAACTTAAACAAAAAAGTAGTAGCTATTTTACCTGTCGTGCTTGTTCAGTGTGTAAAGCAAAACTGCATTTTCCTGCAACCAGACAAAGTGTAGCACAAAACAAAATGTTACATTAGATTCTAATGTGTATCACATTAAATGTGTGGTAAAACCTGTCACTACTAAGTACATTTGTAAAATCAAGAGGTACTTACAGCATCA